CTACAGACCCTATGGATCCACTGGCTACAGACCCCTATGGATCCACTGGCTAGAGACCCCTATGAATCCACTGGCTACAGACCCCTATGGATCCACTGGCTACAGACCCCTATGGATCCACTGGCTACAGACCCTATGGATCCACTGCTATCGCCGGTTTCATGTGTTCGACACTTTGAGGGTCAGGCGCCTGGGTCGGGCAAAACCGCCGTACCAAACCTGAGAAGGCATGTGGACCCCTAGGGAGACAGTTCTTTCATGATCCTTTTTGATTATCGCCATGGGTCCGACAAGTGTTTTACGAAGTCATCCTTTTAGCCTCCTTTGAGGAACAAGTTCCACCTATAGAATGACCATGGGATGTTAGACCAGCGGTCGACCCCAGAATCTGCGTCAGGGATTTCAACACTTCAGATTCTGTTCAGCTGGTTTGTTCGTGGCTTTTGCCCCGCGCACTGCGTTCACGCGAGCGTGAAAAAGCTCGGCTACCTTTTTCAACGCCTTTGGCTCGCATAATTCGAAGATTCGAAGGCTCGGTGAATCCATGGTGTTTCTTCAAGCTTCTTGTTGAACATTTCATGTTTGAATATTTTTTGGAGCCATTTGGAAATCATTTGCATGTGAATGTGGTCAGAAAGTGTTTGTTGCTCTTCGCAGCTCCACGGATTCCTTGGCACGTGACCATTTTGCGCCTTTTCTGGCAGCATGGTTCAGCATGGCCCCATGCCCATGTTGCTACCGTCAGCTCGCGGGTTGCCACCGGTAGCATGCGGTCGCTCTCGGTGAAACCGTGGATCTGGGTTCCTGGCAGGATAGGCGGCTGGCTCGCGGCAGCTTCCTCCGTCCATGTGGGGATCTCTTTCGATGAGCGGCAGCTTCTTCCAAGCTTCGCCAATACCCTTTTCGGTTCAGAATCGCTCGGAGCATCTTCGGCGAGGCCCCGGAATTCATAATTCGTTGCATCCAGGGGTCTGGAGGTCCACCTCTTTTCGAAAAGGGTACGCAGAAAACGCGCGGTTGTTCTTGAGCCAATTTCCCAAAAATGGGAAGCCAGAACGGAATCGAGTGGATCTCTTGAATCTTCGCCGACCCCTGTTGTAAATACGTGTAAATAGATTCAGGACAATACAACCTGCATCCAATTCATGGCGTGCCGATAGGGCCGTCATGCCGTTCATCTCATCTCGTGAACGGGCCAAATCGTCCGAAAGACGCCCCGTTCAGCCGTTCAAGTTCTCCTCAGCGTTGGGACATGGTTTTTGCAGCCAAACTGATACGTCATGCCGAAGTGATACGTCATGGAACTGGTGGGTTGGTTAAGGAAAGCTTAAGCAGACGAACAGCCTGGAGTGGACGCGTGCAAGTCCTTGTATGATCCCCATGAAAGATCGAGGGGTTCCGTGTTACTCGGAGCGATAAAGACCGGCCGTTCCCCAAGCCCTGACGGCTAGATGTCTTTGGTCTCGGATGACGGGACCAGCCGGGACCCAGCCGGACCGGCCCCTATAGGAAAACCCCTCGAAACATCAGAAAGCACTGCCTGATGGGCCAATCGGTCCGGAGTCGGGAATGCTATGGGTGAATTTGGCATGAAGATGGATCTCTTGATTTTAAGAGCAAGCCATTGTTTATTAGAAAATTTACTACCCAACCCGGGTCTGGGGTGGGGTGGAGCTCCTACCACAAAGGATTTCGATTAGATCACCACCCCCCAGACCAACCTCCAGGGTGCCACAGCTGCGGTTCGCTCACAGAGGTGGCCCTGGGTGGCTCGGAGGTGGCTCGGAGGTGTGGCCTAAAATCGGTGGGTAGGTGGATCACTGGTGGATCAGCTGCAGGTCCACCTTTTTGGACGCAGGGGACGTCCCACTAAGTCACTAAGCAAGAACTATTCGTTTCGCTTTCTTTGCTTTTTAGGGTTTCTTGTTTTGCACTATGCGTCTGGCAGGAGAGATAGAACAGGTGCCAAAAAGCTGATACCAGGAGTCACGGAGCTCGGGGTGGTGTGGTGTGGCTCGTCCCATCGGATGGGGCCGCGGAGTGGAGTAGCTGGGCACCTAACCTCCGACCTCCATGGAGTCCGCACCCCGTCGGTCGAACGTGACTCCTGGTAGCTCCGTAAGCTCCTGTTTAGCAAACTGAGGGAGTGAGAGTGTGGGGGTGCATTCTCAAACGGCTGAACAACTGGACCAAGGGTGGCGGCGATGTCATGACTCCCAAGTCACTAAAAAGGTATATAGTAATATATAGTAATATAATGTAATATATCGTATATACGTGTTTAATTGTTTTTTTATTAAACGTTATTGACATGTGTTTGTTGTTTTTCATGCATTGGATTTGACCGTAGGCTTGAGTCATTGAGTTGACCAGCGACCATGAACCAACTCCGACCCAGGAGTTCAGTGGAGTCACCTGGCAGGGAAAACCTCACTTTGGGGGGACTCATTCCAGGGAACGTTCCACCAGAACCGCCAGTCCATGGTCCATGGTATTTTAATGAGATGTTAGGACTTTTTATGGCAATAATACTTCAGGAGGAAGAACGTTTGGTAACAACTTCACTCGAGAATGCCATTGATATCACGGCTCTTTCCCAATGAACATTCCGGCGGATTAAGTTCCACCCTGAACTAAATCACTATTGTATAAATGTACTGTTTGGTGGAAATTAATTTAACCTGCCGGAATTCAAACTGTGATCCACTATAGGATTTTAAGGGGAAAGGATTGTGGTTTATGTACTCCTAATCTTGTTACCAACTTTTGTCCTGGCTGTGCATTTAGTATAGTATGGTATGGTTTAGTGGTAACACAAAAATCCGTTTGGTACATGATTTAAGCCAGTTGTTGAACTCGATGCACGAAGCTAGGCACCATCAGACTTAAGAACTTAAGAGGTCTCAGGTGGTCAATGAACTTGAGCGTTCCACATGAGGGTCACAGGATGGCAGGCTTGGGTTCTATAACTTTGTAACTGATCTGTGTCACTGCTGGCTTTTTGGGGAGAAACAAGTATACTGTATGATGCTGTATGTGTAGGTTTCTTGCAATGGCAAAATGTGTTTTGTCCAGAAAAAAAAAGGCTCCAGTGTTTTTCAGCAGCTCCTGACGCACACCAGCTATCCATCCTAACGACCTTCATGTGCCCAGTTCGATGCGGATCATGTTGAGCCATGTTCGATGCATTGTGTTCAAACAGGCCGGTGCACCGGCCACATACAGCTATCGTGAGTCCAAAAAGTGAGGCGCCTCTGATGCATCAAAAAGGGGTGGATGGAGGAGCGACCGGTGAGTTGAGAAGTCTCAAAAGTCCAGCAAACGCAGGGCAGGGAGGAGCAAGTTATATACATCCCTGTCACGATTCTTGGGCTCAAATCCCAAGAAGCGGTGGTTGATATAGGGATAGCCCATCAAACAGTCTTGCAGGATTGGAGCCACGAGTTCTGCGGGAAGCATGTAAGCTCATCCATGGCCACCAAATGCCGTCAGGCTCAGCCAGGTGATGCGACCGGGCCAGGTGATGCGACCGGTGTGTGACATGACTTGCTTCACAGACGAAAAGAGGTTGAAGGACTCCTTCACGTTCGACCATCCCAGTTTGGTACCCCAGGTTTTCCGGGTCCTATGGTCCCGGTCACTTCACCTCTCTTGGGATGTGGGGATGGGGGTCGTGACCGTTCACTGGAACGAACCGAACCGAACCGAACGGCCAAGCGGTCGGTGTGAGACCTGGAGGAGCACCGAAGGCCTTCGGTGGACAGGAAGGCCTTCCTTGAAGGCTGGATGTGCATTGAAACAGGGAGATCGAACGGCTGGCATTCCGACCCCCTGGAAGGTGCGGTTTGGAGGTGGAGGCTTTGGATGGGGCTATACACACCCATCTCGTTTGGGCTCCTGGCCCACCTTCTCCTGAGGAGATGGGACAGGAGCCCAAACGGGCATAATCACCCATATCGGACAATGCCAGTGGGAAAGGGAGAGCCCTTGGAGCCGGATTTCGTGACATACTCTTCAGCCTTCTTCACCCAGTTGGCCCAAGGAAGGGATGGGAGCGATGGGTCGCAAAGGGGGGGTATCCAAGTCCATGGGACTGCCATATATGCCTACATTGACCACCAAAACCACCCCAATGTAGGCATAGATGGCATACATGGAGTGTTTGGGTGTATGTTGTTCCTCTTGAAGCATGGAGCCGTGCAGCACGGAGCGACCACAGCTCGTACTGAAGAGTACGAGCGCGAGTTCGGCGTTCGGCGCTTGCCTCTCACGAGACAGGTGAGCGATTCTTACTCTCAGCTGCACATCTTTGGGCTCTAGATTCCGCCCCCCCCTCGCGCGGTCCAACACCCCCATCGCGCGCGGTTGGCGGATTTCTAGAGTGGGCGGAGCTGGGACCCAAGCAGCACAGCGCGATGGCAGGACTCTGTGGCTCGACGCTTGGTGGCAGTGGTTCAGCATCAGGCTTTAGACATAAATACCAGCAGCATCCAGCAGCTTCAAAGGGGTCACCAATGGAAGCCCCAGCCCACTACTAAGGGACCTCCATTGGACACCCCTTGAAGGTCCAGGTATTTTTATTTGATTTCTTGCTTGGAAAGCATCTCCGAACCAAGACGTACATCCACCCAACCACCCTCAGCTTGTTCAGCATCGAGGGTTGCAGGGATTTGCGGGGCTTTTTTTCAAAGATGTGGAAATGGGACATCCCCAGTAGATGACCTACCTGGCCCTCCAGATTGACCATATGGGTGTGCATTTTAAGAGGGAGACCCCCGATCGCCCCTGGCTGGGTATATAGATTGGTCCATTTTGAAGCACACGCAACTGAAGTGGGATGGGGCTTTCGAACAGGTTGATTCTGATTGACAATGCCTGGTTCTTGTTCGTGCTGCCAGATCTGCAACTGAAGCTCTTTCATTTCGTTTTTGTTGGGGAGCTTGCCCTTGAACCCCCTGAGAAAGTAGCAACTCTTAGTGCTTTGATGCTTCGATCCAGACTTTGCCTGCAGGTTCAAGGCATGCCACTGTTGTACTGCCCGGATTGGGCCATCCGCACCTCGGCCATCAGAGGTCGCAGGGCTTGATTTGGCTTACACCTGGAGTCTCATAGGGTACGCCCGCAAAAATGGTGTACAAGTACTACTTACAACTTACAAGGACCCTTCATTTCATGCAGGTCATGGCCCCTTTTTGGAGGGTCCTTTAACCTAAGGTCGGGCCAACGTGGCATGTTCCTCAGAGTTCGGAGCACCAGGAACTCAGAACCAACCAGTGTGGGTGTTCACTCACTCACCCCACGGGACCCTTCAGGATTTTGGCAGGGAATTTCAGCACTCTTGGGTGATCTTTGGGGAACAGACACTCCATGGCACTGGCATATTGACCTACCGTATGGGGTGGTTGAAACGGCGTCAATGGATGTAAATATGCCATACATGGAGTGTTTGGGTATTGTTCCCGTCGTTCCCGTTTCTTGGGGGATCGGGTTGGCCGTTTCCGCAAGCTCTAAGCAGGCAGAGTTGTGTGAACAACTCTTTGGTTGATCATCAGAGTCAAGGAGTTCGTGATGAGTCAATTAGTCTCCCAACAGGTCCCATCCACTATATGAGCTGGATGGAGGGTATACGGCGTATACGGTATAGATCTGTATTGTGATCCCCAAATAGATAGTGGCACGGCGTCCAATACATTTTTTGGTGGTGATTGACTTTTCTATCTACTGAGCTACTGTATTGGCTTGTTGCTGCGCTTGAGGGGAGGATTGACATGCAATTCGCGGACAATGACTCAAGTTGTCAACAGCGAAAGCAGCAACTTCGGGCCTTTAGATACCAACGTTTGGGTTGGGAATTGCTCAGTGGGCTTGTCCTACCATCTTAGACATGCATTGGTTGTTTCCCAAGTGCCCACGTGCCACATGATGGTTTGATGTTGGGGTGATCATGGGCCGTTTCAATCTCCCTGTCCTGAACGGGTGGAGCTTCATTCACTAAGCCCGACCATGAGGTGCTGGATTGTGACACTGCGATGCTGGCCACAGAGGCATGGTGCCCAGGAGAGTGCAGATTAGTGGAGAGTGCCCAGCAGTGGAGTGTGCCTTTGTAGTTTGTATGGATTGAAAGTCTAAGCCTCATGGCTGTTCTCATTATTTCAGCCATGAAACAAAATGGCCGTGTTCATCACTGAATCGTCCATTTTTGTGAAAGGTGAGGACCCCGAACCCCTGTTATGCTTCTTAGCTTTTTTACCAGGACCATCCTGTTTGGGTGTCCTGGCCGGACTACATGACACTATATATCCGGGCTCTCCGGACACCCAAACGGTCGGATGCTCCTGCTTTCAGCGACGACGCAGGCCGCACGCGCGCTGCGTGCGGGCGCCGACTACTTGCACTTGGACGTGATGGATGGGAACTTTGCCGCTCGGCCCAGGGGAAGGTCGTTCGCTTTTCCGACCTGTCTCATGACCGAGGAGGAATGGTGCTGCCTGCCTGGGGGGGAGGGTCGCAGAAGAAAGAGAGGCAGGCTCAAGAATGTGAACGGCTTTGTCCTCCACTTGCTTCGTCCTTAAGTCTCCTCTTTGAACAAATCCCAGTTGCGCTGCGGATGTTTCCTCCCACAGGTAGGATCACCCCTGGACGGCCCAATTGTGTCAGTGGAAGACGTGACTCCCCCAAGCCTGTCATCTTAGATCCGCTGGACTTCCCTCCCTCCACTGCCTTTTGCCTGCCTTCACTGCGCCTAAAACGGCCCTCGCCGGCCTCAGCAGCGAAGACGGCCTCGCCCCAAGTCAGGTTCCAGCCATTTCCTTTGGTGCCAACGTGATCGGGAAGCTGAGGGCGCATCATCCGAAGGTCTGCCGATATCCAGCGGTGAAGCGATTTCTTCAGGTTGGATTGGCTATGGATCTGCATACCTTCTCAGATACGGTGATTGGAGACTGTTGATGTAGGCTTGGGGAGCCCAATTACCTTCTGAGAAGGTATGTTGATCCATAGGGATTGGCTATAAGACAAACTGGTGAAGTCCACTCACCGTTCAGGTTGAGGAATTGGTTGACCATTTCTGGGGATGAGAGCGTGATCTAGATTCAAGATTTCGGAGGAGTGCTGCAGGACTCCTTTATTGAACACATCGCCGGATTTGGCGGTTTAAGAACGCCCTGGGAATGGCGACCTGGGACCCCAACTCTGTCGGTTGACCTATACTGGGTAGAGATCACATAGGAGTTGTATAAGCCTCAAAGTGACATAAGGAATATAGGTCAATTAAGTCCTATGTCACGGAAACGTGTTGTCATTTGGACCTAGTATACCTCCTCCCGGACACGACCTGTTTGGGACTGGCATGCTCCCGACATCACCAGATTGTTGGTCATACCCAAACTCAGCAAAAAATGGCTTCACAGTGGTTTGACATATGACCTCATGGATGTGCAGTAGCAGACTCATGTTCCTTCGCTATCGTCGAGCCTTTGCTGTTCCAACAGGGATCCAAAGTTTCCTTCGTGAAATCCCACAATGGTTCGTTCAGCAAACCCACCAGTTCGTGCCACAAGGCCACATGGCCCAGTCATGCCGTCATGCGTGGGACCACGCACGCCACGCACCCCCAATACCATCCATGGGACTGGAATAGTTACATCTACCTCATTTATGCCCCCCATGTAACTATTCCCCCTAGGGCTCCAACCACCTTCTGAGGAGATGGTTGGAGCCCTAGGGTCCATACATGGATGCTCTCTAGCTACGGAGCACGACAGATCCTGCAGGTCTTCTTCGACTGCCACATGATGGTCGCGAAACCCGAAGACGCCCGGCGTCAAGACGACGGGAGGCCGTCAAGACGGAACCACTTTTGTTGTCCACAGCCAAACTGGCAAGGTCCAGCTGTTCAGCTTTTCATGAGCCAAGATGAGCCAAGTAGGCATAGGCATTTGGTGATGCCAAGAAATAGAATCTCGGGGGAGAACACCTTGGGCGAAGCCTGCACTTGACATGTAGCCCAGCTTGTGGCTGTTTGTTGGTATGCAACAATTTCATGTTCCCCATTCTTGGGAACTCCCAGTGGTATGCAAGAACTTCATGTGGTATGAACATGAAGTTGTTGCATACTGGCAATTCCAAGAACTTCCCCACATTTGTCACATCCACCTGCAGCACTGGCACTCAGGAACAGGTTGAGCAGGTCGCGCAAGCGAAAGCCATCCATCCGGCACCTGAGCAGCAGGGATGGCTGTGAAGACATTGGGTGTTTAAAGGCGGGAGACCTCCCAGTTCGACCCCTGGAAGAAGGGAAAACTATCACCTGGGCACATCGTGCAGGGGTGCACCCCTCGTCCCAGCACTCCTCCCGCCCCACACGAGTCCCAAGGCCATCACACACACCCACGTGGCGCCAGCAACGGCGGAGTATCTTCCCTTGCAACCGCCAGTGACAGTTGTTCATGTAACAGCCTGACAGAGCCAAAAGTGTCACATACCTTGTCCATAGCCTATCTATCTGTCTACCAATATTTACCTATCGGACCTATCTATTTATCTATCTATTTATAATTATATATTGATCTATGTTTTTATTTATGTCTTTCTTTCGTTCGTTCTTTCGTTCTGTATTTCCTATCTAACTTGTCTATTATAATCTAATCTAATGTAATCTAATCCAATCTAATCTAATCTAATCTAATCTATTTATCTATCTATCTAATGTCAACGTCGGATTAATAAACGCCCCCCTTCAAGGCCAACAAGGTCAACAAGGTCTGAGATTGGAGGTATTGGAGGACCACATCACCCAATAAAGGTGATGACCTGATGATGGATGATGAGATAATGAGATGAATTATAATACTAAACTATAGTTTTATGTCTATTGTTTTCTGGGGAAGCTTGGCTTGATTAATATCGGGGGGTTCTGGACAGGGACAATAATTAGGGGGATGCCAAGTAATGCCAAGGTTGAAATTCATGTTTTGAATTAGCTGTTGCATTGGGGGCTCGAGCTGGGCTTGATTAACAGGGGGGTCATTAATCCTATATATGTCAACATTATCTATTTATCTATCCATCCATCCATCCATCTATCAATCCACCTACCTGTAATTACCACAATATATATATATATACAGGTATAGATAAATATGTCCCAGGTCCCAGTTCATTCAGGTCTCTCAACCTCTCTTGCTCCCTTGGGTAGGACACCAAGAAGAACCTCCTCCAGTTCACCTTTCACATCGAGACCACCAAGTCACGAGGCGGTCCGGTGGAGAGAGGCCCGGTGGTGGCAAGATGTAGATGTTTGGGTTCTTTGGGTATGGATACTCTCCCTGCAACTAACATGGAAGTGGAAAACACCCTGTTTCTGGTATTGTTGTGCCCATACGGGTGCCCATACGGGTGTGTATGTTCATGGGATTTTTGCTCCCCTTGGAACTAACACATGGAAGTGGAAACCCTTTGTTTGTAGAGGATTTCATGGTCTTCCAAAGAGGCCATGCCATCCACGTAACCATGTTAGTTCCAGGGAGTGTAAATATGGATAGATATGGTTCATGAGAATTAAGCAGGTTTACGGTTAAGCCACATGAGTTAGGAGTTTTAATGGACCTTCTAGTCCATATAATGAAGGGTTTGCGAGACAGACCCTCCTTGAACATTCCACTGCCAGCACCTCCAACATCTGTTTCCTGCTGACCACAGGTGCCCGAGAACCACTTATGATAGGGCCGCAAATCAGCATGTTGTCCCGAGATGGTATAAATAGTAAACTCACAAATTGGATCAAGCGTCTCACCATGTCCTGCTATAGCGGAATGAATCGTCAAAATACAGATCCTGAAACCATACAAACCACACATTTGTTGATGGGTAAACCGCATGTGTTTAGCAGTTTTCGGGTGAGGTGGAAAAATATGGAACCCCGCCTTCCAGGCACGTGGCCATGTTTCCCATCGCCTGATTCTTCGCTGGGGGGTTTCTGTCCAGAGCGATCAGACCGGACTGGGATCGCTGGTTTTTCCGGAGCCTGGCCAGGTAAGACGCAGGAAGTCATTGACCTCGTGAAGCAAAATGGATCCTTGGCACCGAGACGGGAAGGAGGAGGCCGCACGCTTACGTCGGAGTGGAGGTCCGGGACGGTCCTTTTCAGCCGGACGGCTTAGATAGAAGAACTATTGCAATATATCCTATAGAACCCAGATGAACCCAGTGGATTTATTTATTTTTTTTTATAGGAGAATGGGTCCTTGTTTATACTTTGTTTGTTTGTTTATTATATATCCTTGTTTTTTGATGGTGAAACAGGAAACAAACAAATCATGTGAATTGTCTCCAACAGACGGGTCACTGAAGTTCCATAGGTTTCAAAATAGGTATGCACATTTAATCATTTAATCTCTTATACGTGTACAGTAGACCTGTTTACTCTAGGGACTCTAGGGCTCCTGGCCTACCTCGTTGACTACCGCCACAACCGGGGTGGCTTTGGGGCGTTGTCGGATGTAGACCACTACAGGTTGTGCCTGGACCATCCAAAGCTACATTGGAAGCATTGGGTTCATGACTCAACCAGAAAGTTTTTGCATTTTTCCAACATACTTTTCATTGATGGGATCCAAACCCCCCTTCGCCTGTAGATATGTTCTTCTAATCCTGCCAAGCTGGATGACTACCTGAGTGCTTTGCGAGGGCCAGTGTTTGAAGGGGAAGTTGCAAGCCATCAATTCATGTTGCTGCTTCTTTTGCAGATTTTCCTTGGCCTTGGAATGCCAGCTGGGTGCTTGATTGTGCAAGTTTTTGCCTCCGCAGGCTTGCCCCCATTGCGCCCCTCATACTAGCTTGAAAGGATATACCATTCTCTCTAACATGTGGGGTAGCAGAGACAACTGTTACGTAACTTTCGAGCTGTCCGTGGTTTGCGCGCGCCAGCTAAGTAGGATAGACAACCAGAGCATGCAAGAAGCACTGCTGAGGAATGCTGGTGGGCCTTGCCTTGAACCCTGCGACACCAGTGGAGTGGCTTGATGAGCATGGAACCGGGCCGAGAGATAGAACCCAAAGACCAAAGAGTACACTCCTTGATGGGTTCGATCCGCAGGCTCGTTAGTTTGAAGACACTCCAAAAATTCACAATCCCTGTCGATGTGTCTTCAACATATTCCGATGGAAGCACTGAAGCACTGTTGTTTGATTTTGACAGTTCCAATTCCATTGCACTGAGCCTTTGGAGCCTTCCGGAAGACCTTATTTGGTACTTTCGTTGAACCTTTGGGGCCCCAAGCCCAATGGAAATCCCTCCTGCCATCCGTTCACGCAAGACCTTGCGGGGCAAAACTGCCTAGGCATGTGCTGCCCTACCTGGACCAGGCCAGGCATCTGTGAATCAGTGACTTGGAGGTTTGAACTAGTTCCATTGATCACGCTGGTTTGCGGATCACTTTCACCTACCTGGCGTCTCAGTTCGTACCCAGAGGTCATGGGGTACGCGGTACGTGCCTGGCTTTATGGGGTCATGTCCCAGTTAAGTAAGTGATTCTAGCTTTTGAGGTCGAACATGGTTTTGTGACGTTGAAAGTATTTACTAACCACATCACAGGTTCAGTTGGACCGCAGAGTTCTAAGTGGTTGCCAGCCTTGACTTGGCTGATCATCCCCAGGCACTACAAAGATTTAGGGATTTAGGCCACTGGGATTTGTTTGGATGGTGTTTTTGTCTTTTTGCGGCTCTTGGACCAACTGTACGATTTGCATGACCAACTGCAAATCCATACAAATCCACTCAAATCCATATGTCACTTGCAGTTTGCATTGATTTGTATTGATTTTTGGAAATGTGAACACTGCGAGCCGTTGTGGAACGTCAGGTGGACATGGCCCTCGTCATGACCGTGGTCCCAGGCAAGGGCGGACAATCCTTCATGGTGGACATGATGGAGCAGCTCAGAGGCCAAAAGACTGCAAGGGGTTGGGGGCGGTACTTCCCCCTCCAGGGGAAGACATTTGAATATACTAGCACCTTCATGTCGGGGTCTCCGATAGACTACCCTACATTACTTAGGGATCTCCATTGAGCACCCCTTTGAAGGTCCAGGTGTAATACTGTTGATGGACGAAATCCTGCACCACCTCACCACTTTACCCCGCGCTCCCTCATTCAATGTTGGCGCGACCCCTCTGAGGAGGTGGTGCAGGATTTGGGACTTTCAACTTGTTTTAATTTTCTCACTGTGGTGGCCCCAATGTCAACGAGGGAGAACGAGGGCAGCAAGAAAACTGTGCGCAAAGTGGTGCAGGATTTTGTCCATCAACAGTATGTTTGATATTTTTGCCGGGTTCTTTGACAGCAATCCCTTTTTTGAGGTGTTTGTGCCACTGCTTTTGGGGCAATGCTCAGGAGCGAGTCCAAGAAGTATCTCAATTGTTGTGACATCCAGGAAGAGGGCTCAGTGTTTCTGGTGGATCACATGATGGCTTTGGTGCTTCACGTGCCGCCAAGGAAGGTTCGACATGTGAGAGCCAAGTATCCGGAGAAGGTGTGCAGTCGTGAGCTCGTGGCATTGGAGATCTTCAGATGTGGCTGAGGGATGCTAAGGGCCCAAACCTGGAGCTGGCAAATGAGCTTGACCCTGGTAGTTCATTCTGTCATAACCTGGTGCCCTGGGTAGGCAACCACGGTACAGTATCCTGGCGCCATGACCCACAGCCAGTTCTGTTCATTTGATTCCATCATGGTGGATGAACCAAGGTCTCAAGTATTGAGCATGTTTGGATCCAGGCATAGTTGTCCGAAGGAACAAATTGAGAGCTTTGTGGGATGTATTATGTGATGTGTATATTTCTGGTGTGTAGATATATATATATATATATATGTGTGTAGATGTGTTAGTGGTTTAATTCATGCTGGATATGATATAATAACATATAACTATATATATATATATGTATATATGCGCCGCCAGAAGCCTCTGCAGCTTCTGCATTCAACACCACCCAATGGCTTTCCCCCTGCCAAGCCAACTTGTGCAGGATATCGAGGTGGACGGTGGGGTCAAGGTGCACACGGTGGATGAAGCGGCGAAGGCTGGAAGGGTCGGACGGCTGGAGAGGAAGGACCCCAGTGGATCACCTCTAGGTGACCCTTTTTGGAATTGGGGATGCCCCACTCAACAAGAAACCAGTGGAAAAAGGTCAACAACCTTGATGTTTGAAGGACACCGGGAGAGTCAGTAAGGGAACCTTTTACAGCAAACCCCATGGCTTTTCACTCCCCAAAAGCGCGAGATCAATCCAGTGCATGCAGTCGGAATCCGCGCTCCAAGCCGCCCAGGCTGGTGCCAACATGATCGTCTCGGGCACTGGCGTGTACAAGGTTGGGAGTTGGAAGCCGTTGCAAGTCGGCGTATTGTTCCACGTTCTCTTGAAACTATGGCTGCTATGCCCTAGCGAGTAGGACAAGTGGACGACTTCTGGGTCACCTTCTTTGGGGAAACTCTTGCTTCCCCGCGGAGTGGCACAACAGGTGGAACAAGGTCCTCCTTCGTGGGCTTGCAACTAAGGGATCCAGGCAGCTGTACACTCCGTGATCACACACTCCAAATGCGGATTTTGTGAATCAAGAGTCTACACTACCAGCACAGCGCGGGGATGTGGGCGCTTCTTATTTGATGGCATTCATATTTTTGGTGTTTGAGCATGTGCTTGCTTTGGGCCATGCAGTACATACAATAGCACACCGATTGTGGAGTCTTGCACTTGAGGTTGTTTTCGTTCTTCTTGCACCGGAGTTGTCTTACACAGCTAGTCATCATGTCTTCAAGTCAAGTTGCACGCGTCCAACCTGCCCATCCACTCAGGTGGAAGACATGGCCTTGGCGATCTCCACGATGAAACGGTCGGTGGAGCTCTATGGGACGCTGGTCAAAGACCAGAAAAGGGATCGAGGAACTGTGTGGTATTTATATTTGTATTAGCTGTACAGACACATCAATAGAATCGTATTTGTATTGCATTTGTATTTGTATTTAGCCCTAGCTGTATATGTGTATTGTAATTGCGTTTGTGTATTTGATGTATTTGCTGTATGGAGGATGTCAGGACTGTGTGGTATCTATGTCACTGCTGTATACACATCTTGCTCACTGCAGCAACCAGAGTTCGTAGCTCGTCTTGAGTGTTTGGAACCTTTGGTGGGATACAGGTGCAGGCAAATGTATCTACAGGATCAGGGTTCCTCCGCCAATCAGCACATGGAACAATTTAACTGTAAACGGTAACGGTCAGTGCCTTTTCCTGGCTGAGATGACTTGTTTTGCCGGAATCACTATATATCCTTTGGGCTTATTTTATCGGAAGGGTCTTGGTCAGATTCTTGTGTACAGTCAAATCTTCAGATGCTTTCAGGTCCTTCGAAAGAAACCATCCTGTCCGTCGGTTCACCCTCCAGCAGAAGTGGAGTTCAGGAATGGCCTGACGGAGGACAAGCTCTCGCCCTTGCGCTACGACAAGGACCTCGCAGGATACGCCGCCTCTTAGTTCGTTTGAAAAGAGTCGCCTGGAGAGAGGACGTGGCGGTGGTTGGAGAAGGGCGTGCCCGGTTTCTGGCAGAGAAAAACCTGCTTCTGTGTTTCTTATTTCACGATGGGTGTACAGTTTATTCTCAGAAGAATCACGGAACTCCAAGCTTTCTCAGCAAACAAGAAACAGGTTCACCACCCTCTATCGTGCGGATCTTCCAAGGGCCCAGGTCGGTGGCTGCGATTTGTGTGAGCCAATGAGGGCGTTCAGCTTCTTTCCATATGAGGGGCCGTAGGGGAAGCATTTATTCAGGTGGCAGGATGATATCATTATAATTACTGTACACTCCCTGAAGCAATCATGGAAGCAGCAAATGCTCCCGAATGGATGACATTTTCCACTACAAACAGATGGTTTTCTACTGCATGATCACTTCAGGGATTTTCAGAGAGTGTACGCTCCCGAAAACTCACATGGACATGGGTCGAATGGCACCCTCAGAGACCGTTTACCTCTGCAAACCACTGGTTTTCAGCATTTTTGCTGGCATGGGTAGATGGTGCATGACCACACCCCTTGTAGCAAGGGTCAGATTTGGAGGCTCTAGGACTGATGCATGGTGACGTTCGTTGGCTTAGCCCGACACTGCAAATTGCACGACTTTGTTTTGTTTGTGCTTTCTCTGACTGTCCGTGAGAGTCCGTCAGGAAACTTTTTGGATCTCAAAGGCTTGGGACCTGGGCAATGACCCTACATGAGCTGCGGCACAGAAGGGCTGCATTCCGAATTCTTTCCTTCACGGAAAAGGCACGAGAGGTTTGTTCATGTGCGGACCAGCCATCGTTTTGCGAGGCATTGTGCGCATCTACGTACTTTGGGTTCAAGCAAAGCATTAGGCATATTCAAGCTGACAACAAGAATCCTTACCCTTCATCGCTTCTTCCAGCCTCATCCAGTTGTTGTTGAGAGTTTATAGTCACCACAGGTTTCACACATTCAGATGCCAAGACAGGCCATATGACAGTGAAAGAGATTGAGCGCAATCAGAACCCTGTGCGGCTTTCATATTTCATTGCCAGCTCCTCAAAGGGTGTCTATTATGTGTGTAACTGTATGTGTGTATATAAATATATACATATGTATCAATGTATATTAATAAACTAGAAAAAACTTAGATATACAGCACTAGTTATATTTGTGTATGTATATTTGTTTTTATACCATAGCCTCCTAGATCAGGCTTCTTTTCTTTGCCCTGCAGGGTGGCGCTTGATATTTTTTACCAGGCTTTCCCCCCCCCTCTGTGGGAGGGTGGACCAGCTTTCCAGCAACCATCACTGGACCACATCTCTGCGTGGACCATGACGCGGCTCCATGCTTTGTGGGATGTCGTCGCTCCATGGCCCGTGCACTACCCAAGGCCTGTGACCAATGCGCTTGGGCGTCCTACCATCCCTCCCAGTGCTTGGTCGATTTGGTTCACTGGATCCCTCCCATTCGGTTTCACCTGGCACAGATAGACATCCCATCAGCACCTGCATCCCTGCGACACGTGGACCCATCTTCGTCCTGAATCTTGCCAAAGCATGTCCCCAAAAAACATATACCAACACCTTCTTGTCAAGAGAGGTTAAGTGACGGTACATAGGACCCGTCACCTGGGGTACCTATGGGATAGTCTATAGGGGCCTTCAACCTTTGTTGGTGTGTGACATCTGCCCATCCAGCTGAGATCTTTGGGTCTCCGCCAGGCGCTCCAACGCGGGCGCCTTTCTGGATACTCCGGTGCCCACAGATGACCTGCCGCCGCCTGCTGCGAGGCGCGCGGCGCAAGTGGCAGCCCGGTTCCTGGTGCAGCTGGGCGCACCCTCCGAGGACGGTGGTGGACGGTGCACCCCAAAGTGAGGACGGTTGTGTTGTATTTCCAGGACCTACAGGAGTGAAAAGGTGGATCACCTGCAGGGAAATCCAAACTTTTTGGGGGTATTTCGGGGCACTTCAATCGAAAAGCAAACAGGAGGAAAGTTTGGTTAACTTCTTGTTTCCCAGGACATCATCAAAAATACAATACATGCGCGAGGTGTGTTGTGTTTTGTGGGAGGCGTTTTCTGTTTCTGTTTTGAGCCAATCGCATCCACAAACCCTGCTGCTATATAGACTACTAGGCACGCCCTGGTTCCAAAGAATTACTGTACAGCTGCATTTCTAGACCTTGATGGCCCCTGGTTCCTAGGGTCGACCGGTTCAATCTTCACGCTTCCCCAAATCCGGTGTCAAAGGGCAAGTGCCATCCATTCAATTCCATTCAGGGTATTCTAGTCTGACTACTCTAATATATATATATATATATACTGTGTGTGTGTTGTGCACTATAGACTCCAGTCTTCTAACTGTTGCCTTCTGAGCAGTCATTTCCTTTTCATAGAGTCTGTCTCGAAGCTTGGCAGTGTCACAAACTCATACAATATAACACACGTTGTATGTTTGCACTCGTGCGCAGCAGCCAATCACGTTATGGAATGCTCCATGTTTCCCGTGCCTTGACCAATTTCGTTGTTCCGCAGACCTTCTCGGCCAAAGACAATTTGCCAACGGTCCAGCTACTGGCGCAGCGCACTCCCGCGTTTGTATATGTGCCCCGGTGGGGAAGAGCATGTCGCTGGCAGAATCACCGTGCGCAAAGAGAGCCAGAGTGCAGCAGTTGCAGCTGCTGTTGCAAGAAAGCAGGCGTGAGCTGGCGCAGTGCCGGCAGCGTGTGGCGAGGTGGGCGGCCAAACGTGGTAACTTAGGCTTGACTTCAGCAGGACAAAAGGCAGTACTTGCTTGCTATTGCTTGTCAAACTACAACAGCGCCATTGCCACCAAGCTTGCGCAGCAACTCAGCGACTTGGAGAGACCTTCCCCCCAGTTTCCGTCAGAACCATTGGTCCAATCTCTGTTTCGAGAGACAAACCTTGGAGAGCTCCTGCGGCTGCACAGCGACGATGATGATTGGACAAAAGCCAGAAATGTGGCCGTTCGCTTTGTGGCAGAGGTGAAGACGGTGGACTATGTCCACTCGCAAAACAGTCTCCATGGTGTCGCGCCAACTTCGGCTGAGGTTTTTGCGCATTTTGCGCAGACACGCTCGGGCGGTTTACCGGAGGTACTCCCAAGCCGCGACTATATCAAGAAGTGGGCTGCTGGTTGGCGAAAACGCTTTGGCATCCGAAGGGCGGCCTTGCCCATGGCCATTCCAGCAGATGCACCGAGCTTGCGGGCAAAGGTGCTTCGAGTGGTGTCAGTATAGGTGGTCAAACCGGTCAAACCAAGGGGCCAAAAATGGGACCGAAAAATGGACCTGAAACAAGGTCCGCCTTGTGAAAAATTGTTTTCGGTTGCGAGGCAGCTTTGGGGACAGTTTTTGGCCCCGGATTCTTTTTTGAGGGTGTGCTTTGAATTAGAATGAATGGCTCGGAGGTGAAATGCTTCTGGAAGATGCTGGCGTTTCAGCGTGGTCCAGAGGCTTGTGATGGTCGTGAGATTTTGTATCTCAATGTGGATGAAACAAGTGTGCCCTACACTGCACGACCTGCTATTGGTTGTGTGATCAACCGCAAGCAGTACAAGGGCTCCGGCCTCCCAGCCGTGCCCCACGCCAAAATCCAGCCTGCCGGCAGGCGAGGTACTTTTACGTACTGCGCTGTTATTGCTTCAAATACAGGAATTCAACCAGCACTACCCCACTTTCTTGTGAGCAATGGCACCAGGCTGAGCAGCAAGGTAGTGAAGGCCTTCAAGTGCTTGCCGAAGACCCAATTGCAAGTGCTTCGCCGGAAGAGTGCGTGGGTTACCAGTGATTTGATGATCGCAATCTTGCAAGAAGTGGCAAAAGCATTAGAACCGTTTTTGCATCAATTTAGGCCGGTATTGCTCTTGGACGGGGCGCCAGCTAACGTTTCAGAGGCAGTCATGCGTGCTGCAAGAAAGTTGAACATTTCGCTGGTATATATTCCATGTGGAGCAACTAGCCTGTGCCAGCCTTTGGACGTCTATGCGTTCTCCAGCTTCAAGCAATACCTCCGCCAGAAATACCACGAGCACAGGCAGACAGCCACTGATGGCTTGCCATCGACTTTAGCGTGGCTGTGGCAATTAGGCCAGGCGCCAAGGCAATTTTTTTGTTCCAAGTCTTGGGCCAAATGTTTCCGCGGAGTTGGGGCCAGTGGCAAAGCCAGCGACCTCCACTCTGTACTTGCCTCTTTCATGGAGCACCCTACATGTCTCCCTGCTTCATCCAAGCCAACGTCAGAGGACGTTCGGCTGATATGGCCGCAGAACCGTCGCATGAAATACGCATATGCGTGTTTGTATGATGGTGAAGACTGAGGAAGCACCATGCAAAAAAGTGCCCGTGCAGTCAATTCTTCGAGGGGTGCAACTGCTGAACTTGGAAGACGGTCCATTTTTCGGTTTGGAAATTCGCGCCGTCGGGCGCCGTCGGTGCCCGTCCGTGGGGCAGTACATGTTGCTCAAGCACTCGTCCCCAATATTTATATATTATATAGACACTCCCGACTGCCATGTCTGACGCAGCCGCTGATGAAGAAGCAACAGCAGCAGCAGCTCCGGCTGCGAGGCGCCCCGCCATCATATATCTGTTGGTTCGCACCGCCGGCACGCACATAGTACGCTGATCATGTTTGGGAGCGCCCACAAGCAACGTGATTTTGTTTGGGCCGCATCTGGACATTAATGTTTATCATTTTTGGAAAGGCTATACTTGGCACCAGACTGGTTCAGACCTCCAACCACTTCCTGATGAATTTAAGTCGTGAGGCACCCAGCCGCCGATCGGCTGGTTTCGCTCAAAACACAGCGGCAGAACCTGAAGCGGCAGCTCCAGCAAGCGAACCGTGAGGTTCGCAATGAGGCGACCGGCGCATGATCCACATGTATTGTTGAAATTTGATGCAGTATTGTGTTGCTTGTGCTTCCGACTTGCGCGCGGCGCGACTCATTCTGGCGCACATGCAGGAGAAAAAGCGACAGAGACTCATGCGGCGCGCTGGCAAGTTGAGCTCTGCTGATCTCACCTGGCTGCTGGCGCGTCGAGTGCAATCTGAGCAGTCTGAGCAGATGTCCACATAGCTATATTGCAGGGCACATTGGCAGTGTTTGGGGAAAGAGAGACTTGCGCCCATGTGCTAGCTTTTGTTGACAGCTAAGCTGACAACTGCTGAGCGGGGGCTGTCAGAGCAACCTTGCTGAAGTGGCCGTGCTCGCAGAAGCCGGCGCAAGCGATAAATATGTCACCTGTCACCCACGTGCTAGCTTTTTGTTTACAGCTAAGCTGACAACTGCTGAGCGAGGGCTGTAAGAGCAACCTTGCCGAACTGGCCGTGCTCGCAAAAGCTGGCGTATGCTGGGCTAGAGTCCCTCACATCTCTCCCTCTCTCTCTGTCTAGGCTTGCTAGTCCAGGTTTGTCGTGCCCGCAGTACCCTGCAGCAGCTGAGGCAGATAATATGAGCTCCTCAAAGAGATAGTGAGATGTTTGATGTTGACATACTATTACCGTGTAATATGATGCGTCAACTACAGGGTTGGCCCAATAAAGAAACATGTGACGCAAATTGTTTGGTTACGTGCGGTTGCCCTTGCCTTGTTACCGGGGTTTATGTTTTGGACCACCTCCAGAAGCAGTTCATTCTTGCTCTGGATTGCAGCCAGGAAGCGGAACAACTTTGAAAGGAAAAACGGTATCACAGAAATTAAAGACAAGCAGACCACAAGATGATAGCAAAACCACAATCTGACCCTGCCAAGACTGTGGACTTTGTTGCTCCTAGTGCTTTCAAGGACCCTTCTCAACATTCTGTTTTGTTACACTTTTCGAGCAAATGACCTTGCTCAACGTTTGCTTCGGTTGCTAATGGCAACGTTATGTTGCGTTGTGGATGTAGCGCTTTTCAATTGTTGGTTTCGCCGCTCCATGTCATTCGGTGGCTGATGCGCCAGCGGCTGATGCGCGGCGCCTTCTTCGACTTCGAGCTCTTCATCCGCGGTCAGGTGGCCGCTCGGCCTGTGGGGTGACGCGGGCTCCTGGCCTTACTACTAGGAGCACGGACGCTACTAGGGGCTCCTGGCCTTATTACTAGGAGCAAGGACGCTACTAGGGACTCTTGGCCTTACTTTCAGGACGCTAGTAGGGGGCTCCTGGCCTTGTTACTAGGAGCAAGGACTCCTGGCCTTGCTACTGGCCTTCTTAGGGGCTCCTGGCCACATTGCGAGGAGCGAGGACGCTACTCGGCGCTCCTGGGCTTACTACTGCGTCGCGCGCTCGTCGGTTTGCAGGTGCCTTCTTCGACTTCAAGCTCTTCATCCGTGGTCGTGTCAACCAGCCCAGGTGGCCGCTCGGCCTGTTGGGTGACGCGGGCTCCTGGCCTTATACTAGGAGCAAGGACGGTAGTAGGGGCTCCTGGCCTTACTCTGGTCTTATTACTAGTTACTAGGAGCAAGGACGCTACTAGGGGCTCCTGGCCTTACTACTAAGAGCAAGGACGCCACTAGGCACATGACTAGGAACGAGGACGCTACTCGGCGCTCCTGGCCTTACTACCGCGGTCGCTCGCTCGTCGGTATGCAGGTGCCTTCTTCGACTTCGAGCTCTTCGCCCGTGGTCGTATCAACCGGCCACGTGGCCGCTCGGCCTGTCGGGTGACGCGGGCTCCTGGCCTTGCTACTAGGAGCAAGGGGCTCCTGGCCTTATCGCTAGGAGCGAGGACGCTACTAGGGGCTCCTGGCCTTACTACTAGGAGCAAGGATGCTACTAGGGGCTCTGCCTTATTACTAGGAGCAAGGATGCTACTAGGGGCTCCTGGCCTGACTACTAGGA